GCAACATGAATTTTACAAGTATACCAATAGACTATGTTCAGCAAGTCCTAGACCAATCTTATTGCCATGGAGGATACAGATTGTCAACATAGATTAATAGAAAATAATTTTTCATATATTGCTCATTAAGAAAAGGAACCAAGTTATAAAGTCTAATTAAGAAAATAGACTTCATAACTTGGTTCCTTTTCATTATATATATATATATATATATATATATATATATATATATATTAGATATGTTAAATACTGTATCAGACTAAAACATTGTTGCCTTTATTTATGTGAGTTTCAAAGACAATATTTAAATATTTGTAAATAGATTTATTAAATCCTGTATGTGCCATTCTGTTCAACAAACTTCACCATCTTTGAAGCAGCTCCATGATTTTATCCTTCCAGAATGTGGCACCTTTCTGGACGATAAATTGGTTTAAGTGGTTATTAAAGCCTTCCAAAGAATTGAAGTTTTTTCCATTAAAATGATTTTGTAGAGAGCAAAATACTCTATATACTTCTATATAAACTGGCTTCATTTATAGTGCAACCTTTGAATGTTTTTGCAGGAATTTTAACTCCACCAGAAAAAAAATTTACCTATATATAGTGCAACTGGTCATCAATAATGCATGATTTTTAACCTCTTCAAAAAAAAAAATGTGATCCCCTATTTTTTGTGTAAAAACTGATATAAAACATAGTCTACACTCAAGTATACACAGTAAATGATGAAGGTAGGTGAGTAGGGCAGGTGTAGTAGTACATCTCGGCCAAGATATACCAAGTTCTGCCAGAGACATGAAGTGTGGCATTGTCTTGATGGAAGATGAAACCCTTCTGATTGTTCACTTCGAGATACTTTTCATAGATTTCTGCCTTTAATTGGTCTAATAGAGAAAATACTTGTCTGATATTGAAAAAGGACTTAATAATACACAATGAACATCTAATCCCACCAAATTGCAGCACTTTTTTGGATACAGACCAGTTTTGAGAATGGTTACCAGTGGCTCATTTCATTTTCCATGGGATTATTTTTATTCAACATTGCTGTAAACAATCCATTTTTTATCACCTGTGATCATTCTTTAAAAAAATGGGTCATTTTTTTTGTTGCATCCAAGCAGAAAAATGCAGATGGAAATGCAGTCTATTAAATTATTTTCTGATAAGTCATGAGGTACTTGAACATTGCATCAATTCACATATCCAAGATATTGCAACACTCACATTAGAAATGTGGCATACCTTTGCAATATCCTCTGATTGGTGTCCTGCATTATTTTTAATCAGCATTACAATTTAGACATTGTCAGTATCTGCAGACCTGCTGGAAAATTATCAGTCTTCCAGATAAAAATTTTCACTTCTGAACCTATTGAACCAGTTACAATCAGTACTTTCAGCTACTGCACCATCTTCATAAATGGCACATATGTTTTTGATGTTTGTACAATGTTTTTTTTTTCTTTTCAGAAATGACATATCATTAAATAAGAATTTATACTTTTAATATAAAAACATTTAAAATTCACAATCCATGCATGAATTGCATAAAAAGATGCATTGAAATATTCTGTGTCCAAATGTCACCTATTTACTTGTGAATATATAAGGATATAAGTAACCTGATGTTTTTCCAAATGAGTTTCATAGGCACATATTTCTGTCTTAATGGTAAGTCTGATAGGTTCAATAAGGTTAAATTGGCAGCTGATCTCAAAAATGACCTGCAATCTGTTGTTAACTGGGTCAAGGAATGACTTAATATGTGTAAGACCTCTGAAATGAAACTACTTTCTATTAATCGTCTGAGAGAACACTTTTTGCTTGCCATCAACATGGTTTATACTAACTGCCAAGAGAGTCACTCATTGCACTTTCTCAGGCTAACATTTTCTGCTGACATGAAGTAAAATGGATCATACTGAATCCGTTGCTAAATCTGCTGCTAGGAAGCTAGGAAGTTTCATTCAATGTGTCATGCTAGACAATTTTTTATGCCAGAATCTATCTTGCATATTCATAAGTCTACCAGTCGTCCTTGTTTGAATATTGTTGATGCACCTGGTCTAGTGCTCTTTCTATATATTTAGAGATTCTTGATAAAATCCAAAGAAGAATCTGCAATGTTATTGGTCCGAACCTGACATCTCAGCTTCAGTCTCTTTCCTACCATCATAATGTAGCTTTCCGGTGCTGTTTCTATAAATATTTTCATGGTAATTATTCTAATGAACTTACGTCTATGGTACTTAGACTTAATGAATTTAAGTGGAGTACTAGATTGGCAGCAACATCTCATCATTTTACATTTGAAATGGATAGATGTAACCATAAGTTGTATGCTAACAGTTTCTTCTATCACGTATTTCTCTTCTGGCTTCTTACTTCCCAGTCAATTTTGATCTTCAAATGCAATGTCAGTCATAATCTTCTGTCTTTTTAATTCCTGTTCTTTTATTGTTCTCTCTATATAATAGTGTTTTTTCTATATTCTCTTACACACAATAACCCTTTGCATTTTAGTGACTTTATTGCCTTATCTGAGGTGAAATGATTTAAAAAAAAAAAGAAGAAAACACATACAAGCAAACATATATATATGCATGCTTACAAAAATGAACAAATACATATGATACATACATGTACACAGGGTTAGCTCATCCTCATTCATACCATATTCCATAGGTAGAGATGAAGTTCCATTCAGATAGATTCATCCCCAGAACTGCTACTTTGGGTTACAGACTCAATAATCATCTATGATCATAACCTCATTAAATCTATGGTCAACTATTATATATTCTAAATATCCTCCTAATATGAACTTCTTAGTTCTTCCCTTTAGTTCCTTAAAATAACTTCATTCAGTAGTAATCCTCTGCCTGAATGATTCTTGGGCATTGTATTGAGAAACACACTCTCTCTCTCTCTCTCTCTCTCTCTCTCTCTATCTCTATATATATATATATATATATATATATATATATATATATATATATATATATATATATATATATATATATATTATGGTGAATCAATAAATGCATAAGCTGACACAGGGTTATTAGTTGACTTTTGATCTGAAATTTTCACTATATAATGCTCTATGTAATCAAGTGCATTGATAAGAAATGTGATTATACTGAAAAATAAAGACCTGCTGTATAAAATACATATATATGTATATGGTGCATCAGAGAGTAAGTTGAATGTTACCATTCTGATTATGAGACCTAAGACCAAATTTCACCAGAGTCAATTTGTCAATATACAAACTGACAATATGATATGTGCATGTGGCACCATCAGAAAGTACCTGAAAGCCATATTATGGATTGACCCAAACCTTACTAAGATGACTATTACTACAACTATTATTGCTATCATTAATACTATTTCAACTATTACAAAAACATATCAATATTTCTACTACAATTATTTTTACTATTATTATTGTTACTACAACTATTATGACATTATTATTATTATTACCACTATTAATACTATCCCTACAACTCTTATATTACTCTTATTATGACTTAATGAAAGTTATTACTATTACAACTATTGTTAAGACTACTATTACTATTATTACAATTACTGGTATTATTATAACAGTTATTACTATGACTACTATTATTATGACTTATTACTACTATTATTAATGTTATTATGATTCCTACTATTGCTATGATTATTACTGCTATTACTATTGTTACACTTACTATGAATATCGTTATGATGATTGTTATTAGAGATGTTAGCTGCAAGACTAAAGTTTATCTTATTACAATTTGATGAATATAATTAAACCATCAGTTGTGAAAGAGAAAGTCCCAAAGTTTGAGTCTCACTCAAAGCTACCTCTTTTTTGGAAGTTTTTCAGTTAAATGTTATGATGAAAAAAAGATCAGCTAAGAAATATTATGATGGAAAAACTAATAAAATGTGTTGTTTTGTTATGTTTAGAACAGACATATATTGGATCTTAGTTAAGTCTTTCCTCCCCAATGTCTACAGCTGCTTTAAGACAATGATCCAAAGCATATATCCAAACAGAAAGGTAAAAGATTCGTATAATTTTCAGTTTAGATCATCTATATTGATACTAACCAGACAAACTGAAAAAAACAAACACATTTTACCTAACTAAACGATGACACGATTTTTTTTAAAAGTAACTGAATTTATAAGTAACTGTACTTAAATTTGAATACATCTTAATTAACTCCACTAATGATATAGGTATTTCTTAAGCAATTGAAAACAAAAACATACAATCTGCCAAAGGAGACATTTTCTTTACTAAGTTTTCTTGAGTTATAGAGGCTGATAAACAAAATAATGGCTGCACAACATAAAATAGAGCATCTACGCAAATACTGGTATCCACTAAAATAATATCTGAAGATATATATATATATATATATATATTTCGAAAAGGATAAAATCGAGGTAGAGCTCTATGAACAAGACAGATCAAAAATATAATATAAAAAAGCTCAAACACTAATATTCCATTTTTGAATTTGTAGGTCTGATGAATTGGATCATGATTATGATTCCAATGTAAAAAATTATAATCATGGAATATTAGTGCTTTATATATATATATATATATATATATATATATACACAATTTTTTTCTAATCAATTCAAATCTGACTAAATCTTAGGCAGCTTCACTTATGATGTCAGTGTAGTTTAATCAACTCAAAAAAAAGAAAGAAAAATATGTCTTTCTTTTTCTATTCTTTAGAACCAAGTATAGAATATATAAGCAACCATTTAAACAGTTTGAGTACGAAAGTCTTGTACTTAAAATTAAGCAATTTGAGCACCTGTCAAAATCCCAAGTTACTTATAAAAATAAAAGCATCTCTGATAAAGATAGTCTTCTATTAAAATTTTTATTTTTACTCTTCTCGTATTGAGATGTGTGTCAAGAATATTGCCATTGTTTCAGAGAGGTAGAAATCAAAGGATGAGGAGGGTCAGATTTGAGGAGTAAGGTATGTAGACAGTTTGGGGAGGAAGGGGCACTGGTGAAAGCAGCTGAGGTAAGAATTAGGAAGAAGATGACAAAAAGACTGACCAGTTGTTAAGGAAAAGAAAGAAGTTAAGAGAAGAGAGAGAGAGAGAGTGAGTAAGTTTGGATGGGTAAAAGTGTGGTCATAAGGAATCAGAGAAAATTGTGTCAGAGAAAGTTGAAGTGATGATAGTGGCTGCAAAGTCAGGGTTTGTAGGCAAGGTTGATGTTTGGGTGTTGTATGTGGGTAGGTAATACTTGGGTGATGGTGGGTGGTTGATATGCAGATGGATGTGAGGTGGGTGACAGTAGTCTCTTTTGAGATGCTGATGGCATGGTGGGACAGGGTAGTAAAAGTAGGAAAAGGATGCAGGGATGAGACCAAAGATGATGGCGATGATGACAAGAAAGAGAAAAAGAAAGAAAAAAGAAATGGTGGAAACAAATTTTTACTGTCTATTATATTGCAAGATCACCTTTATTCAAAGCTTTTGTCTGTATTAAGAATAATTTTTGAGGTTCCAGAAAGTTGGGGGTGAAACCAATCAGTAAAATATGAAAATGATAAACACTATTTATATAGTAACTATTATTGAGATAGAAAACATTTGTTAAAATTACTGTGTTCCGAAATGTATAAAATGAACATATCATTGGCAAGGAATATTTATGAAAAACTAATAAAATTTAACACAAGATTCATTTGTACTTATACTATATTTTGCAGCTCATAAGATACTCTAATGTATTAGACACTTCCTACCAAATTTTGAAGGAAGAAATCAAAAAATGTTTTTCCTTGGATTCACTATTAACCCCAATTTTACCTATAGAATATCATATTTCAGAATGAAGACCAGATTAATCATAAGAAATTCATCACAGACTGAGAAGTACCAAATTTATAATAACTATTTAGAATCTAATAATTAGAAAAGAAGTCAAAGAGCATAATATCATTGAAACCCAACCTTATTGCAGAATGATATACTCACTAATGATATACTCACTAATGATATACTCACTAATGATATACTCACTAATGATATACTCACTAATGATATACTCACTAATGATATACTCACTAATCATGACAAATTTATCCCAAACTAGGATGGAGCAGTAATTTTAAATTAAATAATATATAAATTTAGATAGAGAAATAAGGTTAACAATCAAGGGCTCAGAATCAGAGGTAACTGGGGAGGGGACACTCACCACACCCCACAAACTTATAATTCCCATTACTGACCTTCGATTTATAGAATGTAGGGTGGTTTTTGGAGATGTTGTACAAGAAAAAAATGCATATTATTGTTATATTTTAACTTAATCTTGATTTTTAATAATAATTTAATCATTTTTAATTATATATATATTTAATTATTGGGACTAATGTATCAGACAGGTAAGTTTAGGTATTAATCTAGAACAAGAAGCCTAACCAACAAAGTAAAAGACAAGACTTTTGGCAAAAAACATGTGCCTTGTATAGTGGGAAATATAATAATAATAATATTAATATTTTATCTTCGTTTTGTGGCTGCAATTTCTTATGCAATACTGTCAAATTACTATTCTCAATCACTGAAGTTAAGCAATGTTAAGCATACCTAGATAGGTGACTGCTTGGGAATACCAGGTGCTGTAAGCTTAGATATGCAAGTGATGTAATGGATAATGGCTCAGAATTGTTAATCAGAGAGCTGAGTTCCAATTCCAGTTGGGTTCATTATATTCACTTACATGCTTTGAAAGGCTATGAATCCACCTCTTCTCCCACATTTATAGGTTAATTAGTAAGACTTGTATCACTAAAACATTATTATTTAACAAAAAAATTACAATATAAAAATATTTTCTGGTTTTAAATAACCTGAAAAGTGTTGATAAGTCACAGAAAACAAATCAATTGAAAAAGCAATTTATATTTTAACCTAATTTTGACTTTTAATCATAATTTAATCATTTATAATTATATATAGTTAATTATAGGGTTAGTGTGTCAGACAGGAATGTTTAGATATTAGTCTAGTCCCAGTAACCTGACCAACAAAGTAAAGAATGAGATAAAGTGTGCGTAGTATAGTAAAAAATATTGTCCATTGTATTTTTTTGTGGCTGTGAACTCTTATGTAATATGGTCAAATGACTATTCTTGACCAATGTAATGAATTTGTTTCTTTTAGAATAACAGTTAAAAACGGATTTGTGTTTTATACTTAACAACTGCATATTACTGTTGTATAATTTTTATTTTTTTACTTTGTTTAAAACTAAATTTCAAAGTATATTTTGTAAATGTCTTCTGTTTCCTTACCAAAAACTAAAATATATTCATAAGGTTTTTTTTAATGACCCTTTGCAAAATAATCCAAAGAAAAATATTACTAAAGGTAAAACCAAGATAAAAAGAGTTAATCTTGGGATCATAGCAGTGATGGGTGATGATGGTACTGTCCTGGGTAGGTAGGTTAGGTAGCTAGGAGAAAGAGAGGGTTGGAAATAGACAGGGTGGTTGGAATGGAATGATATCATAGGGAAAGGTCTGGGCTAGCTTGATGGGTTGAGAAGAAATAGTAATAATAGTGGTAGTGATGTAAGGGATGCAGTGGGGTGGTGAACAGTCAAGGGCAAGGCAGGGCTTTTGCATGTTTTCAGGCAGTCAGACTGACAGAGACATGCAGCCAGGAGCCGGAGCACCAGTGCATGATGCCGATGGAGAGAACGGTCATTGACAAAGCTGGGCAGGGATGCATATCACTCCAATGCATTCACAGCACTGACAGTGGTGCCAATGGCAGAGGCCTGAGATGACCACTCTTATAATAATGATCATGATGATTATTTTAGCAATGGTGGAAGTGGTGGTAAGGGTGTTGTAAGGAGTGGCGTAATATAGTGGCAGCTGTGGCTTTGGCAAGATCACTGCTAAGGTAACAACAAGGGAAATGACGATGACCAGAGTAAAGATGATGGTGATATTAGTCATAATAATAAGGAAGATGATGATAATGATTATTGATGATAATGATGGTGATGAAGATTATGACAATAATCCATATATTAAAAGTTTCTTTGTGCCTACCTTACTACATACAGTGCATCTAATACTTTCTACACTATACTGAACAGTAGGAACTTATTTTCCTATACAAAGATTGATTGACAATTAATACCTAGCTTCATGCTACCTGTGATCAAGATGCTTCAAACTATCCAATACACAGTAATTTACACTATAAGCCAAAAATATATGGACTTTGAAGAATCAAATAAAAATTGAATGTTGTGTCTCCTTATCAAAACTGATTTACTAACTCATTTCAGGTCAGAGATAGTTTCTCTTCCTGAAGTTTTTTTTTTATATTCAATAATAATAATAACAACAACAAAATTAACCATAAATCAATCACTAAGTTTCCTTAAAATTTTGTCTAATCTACCTTGCTGGTTTAATGGTAATCTTAAGATTGGCAGATTTTAAATTTTAGGTAACCTCTCTAAAAATTGAATGTCATGTACTAATGGTTTAAATAGTTTCAGTATCCTAGCTTAGTAGGAGTTAATTAAACTAAATATGGCATAAAATTTAGTAATTATTAAATATAGAGGGTCGCTACAAACTTTTGACCTATACTGTATGTTAATACCTATAGATATATTAATCATTATACTATGATGAAAAATTATATGTTATTTAATAACAATATGAAACACACAAGGACAAATTTCTCACTAGGCCAGAATTGTACTTTTCTATTGGGTGATAAGCAATATAAAAAGAAATGTTGTACTGAAATTCCACTTTATATCAATTATATTTTTGAGCAGTATAAGTATTTTCTTTTGTGAAAACTAAGAAATAATTTTTATCACTTTGATGAAATATTATCAATTATTAATATTTTAATACACTATATAATAACAGACAATGTTTCATCCATGAAATTAAAAAAAAAACATTACTAATGATACTACCAGTGTGTGTAAATAAAAAAAAATATGGCAGTATATTAGGTATTCAGTAAAGAATAGTTATCTGGTAAGCGTTAACTGATTGCAGCTGGTGGGTTACTGTAGCTTAATCATTAAAGAAGCTGTCATAGGAAGACAAGTCTCCTGAGGAAAATGGATGTCAGTATCAGATTCACTGGAGGTTTATTATTTCTTTTTGATCTGTGTTGCTTCCTGATGATTTTAAAATGATGGTCGAAGAGTTGGGCTAAAAGGAAACTGAAATTAAGATGGAAAAAAAAATCTTGTTAAAAAATTAATAATAATTGGTCCATTTATATTAATATTTTTTTTTTTGTGAAGCATTGACAACACTTCTATATTTTTGATATGTTTCTGTCATCTTTGCTTTTTACCACACCTACTCACACTATCATTCTATAGCCACTAGTAAACAACAAAGATGAGAAAGAAAGAATTAGGCTCTTGACAAGATTTGAAATCACATTCCTTGAGCAAGTCTATCTGACTGCTTTTACTAATTGAGTTATAAGAGCCCTATAATTGGATCACCTCGAACTCATTCTTTATTTTTCTCCAATTTTTCTGTACCATATTTAGTGTTTTTGATTAGTAGTATTAATATTATCTTAAATTATTACTGACAATCATTAATAAATTTCTATTTCTTTCATCTAAATTTCAGTTGCTTTTTTATCACAATACTCATTTTACAACCATCAATAAACAGCATAGCTTACTGATGAAAAATTATATGTTATCCTTCATTTCCATTCTGTGCAGTTTATTGATGGCCATAAAATAATGATCTTAGTTACAATGAAAATCATCAAAAATTAAATTAGAAGAAATACTAATCTAAAATTAAAAGTTTAAAATGATTCATCTGATAAAAAAATTCAAGTTAATATTACTAATACTACTCTTACATCTAAACTAAATAGGTCATCTGTCAGGATGTCCCATGTGTCATCATAGGGGTTTTCACTTGCACATCAATTAGGAGACACAAGTCACTACTCCAGCATTTTCCATCAGACTCAGAATAATTAGGTCTCATCCATTGTCCAGTATGAGGGATCTTTTGCATGACACCTTTGCAGTTCAATGCCACAAATCTTGTCTATTAGATTCTGCCATAGACCACATTCAAAAACCAACTGCCAAAGTTCTCACCATGACTCTGGAAGGGGTGGCTTCTGGGTGCTATGCCTTGCCAAAGGGAAACCTTAATATTGTCCAAGGGCCACATATAGTTTTAAATTCAGAGTTGTCTTTTCCTAGATAGATTATCATCCACAGTTAGAAAGCCCAGTCTGCCTTGCTGTTTAACCTATAGCTGTTGGGAGAAAAGGTGGATTCATTACCTTTCCCAATGATATTTGTGCATAAGTGAATGTAAAGAAGTTGACTGTAATTCAAACTTGGCTCTCTGATTTTTCAATCTATCCATTACACTAACAGAACATTCTTTAGAG